TATATATATATATATATATATATATATATATATATATATATATATATGTAACGATATTTAAATCAATATTTTTTATAGCATGTAGAATGATGTAGCATGTAGCATGGAGAATGATAACCATACAAATATTTTTATATTGTATAAAATTCGCGTTAAGTTTCTTTGTTTCAGTCGTTCCGTCTTTCTGTCAATTCTCTTTCTTCATCTTTAGTTAATTGCAAATTTGAACCTTTTGCTACAGCGATCCGCACTCACGGTGTTGATCTGTCTATTCAATCAATTTTGTCTCTTTCCGTCTTCGATATATACTCCCTTGGGCTTTGAAAACTAATATTTACGAGGGAGCTAGGTTACGAGGTTACAAGTGAGCAGTGAGCTGACTTGTGTTAGACCGATTAGATTGATATTTTTAGTTGTAATGAATGTTGAGCAGTCGATAACGAATGTTGAGTACCCATGCAGTTGTGAGAAAGATGGTGCCGGACTGTGGGTCGAGCGGGCAAGACTAATATTTATGAGGTTATGAGGTTAAAATATATAATGATTCCTTGCATTGGCTTGGAGATCTAATATCTATGCACTGTTGATTAATAATCATGCCTTCCTAATAGCTGTATATTACTAGGAGTAGATAATTCCCTATTATCTACTCCTGATATTACTAGGCCTACCTATAGATACGATATCGAATCTGTTTGTTTGCGCTGTTGTTTATCTCGTAATCCTGTTCTCGCGGTTACGATATATCGTATCTATATATTACTCTACCTACATACAAATGCGGTTACCTTCGTGTGTGGCCTCCGAAGCTATGAGCGCACTTTTACGACAATGCCGGCAGATCATTCAAATAGTATTTGCACGAAACAATACAATATCTAGACGCACTTTATCCATTGACAAATGCTATCCCATCTCTCTAGCTATGGAGATTTGGCTGTGTATGGCCACCCGACCCAGGAATGGAATCGAGTCGATAAGTTAGCTACAGAAGGAATACGTTTTACACAGTGGTATTCCGGTGAGAGTGTGTGCACACCAAGTCGAGCAGCTCTTCTTACCGGTAGGTATAGCAAAAGACCCTCGTATATAGGGTCTTTGGTATAGCTCCACGAAATGCGTATATACTATACGACCGTATTACAATTAAAGTAGTTTTATAACAAGTATTACATGCCGCGCTATAGTTTAACCCGGCCATATAAGGTATTACCATATGAAGATGCTCGCATATTATCAGGTGTGAATAAAAACAGACAAGTATGTTT